GGTTTGTTGTGTTTTGACCCCTTGAGGGGGAGTTCTTCTTCTGTGAAGGTGAGGTGATCGCTTGCCGTAATGTGACCGATGATCCTCTCAACCTTTTCTTGGGATATGGTGTGAGGTACATGCGCTGCGCTCAAGACCTTCATCAGGGCATTTCTATGTGGTTCCGAGCTCATCATTAAAGATAATAAAGTTATCTTAGCAGGTGTATGATTGAGCTGGTCAATAATGGAATACTCATTTTTCCTTATAAACTGGAGTAATTCCTCGGTCTCCTCCTTGGATTCCTTATTTTCTTTTCTTTCGGTCTTTTTATTTTTTCCTTTATTTTTGGGGGCATATTCTTGTAAGTCCTTGGGGGAGTAGATTCTTCCACTTCTAGTCATGCCCCCAATGCCGGCTATATTGGAGATATCCTCCTTTATTGGTGAAGATTCCCCGTACCTCCATGGTACAACTTTATTTGATTCGTATTTAGGACCAACGGTCGAGGTTTATTGTCCTCTTGTGGCGAGTCAACCGTTGGGGAAAGCTTTATTAAAAGTGATTTTCTCTCCATTCTTCTGATTTGGAAGACGTGTCAATTAATCCTTCTTTTTTATTATCTTATTTATTAAGAGTGAAAGAGGGGAAATTAAATATGCAAATGAATGATATGCATGCAAGTAGACAATTGTTGAATAAAGAAGAATTTCATTCATCCGTAGAAGGTGTACATTCCCCTATTCCATACTACGAAGTAACTTTCGACAGAAGTGGAAAAGCCTAAAGAAACCCACAGGCGGGTCTTGATCTCTATGTAATTCTCTCTCGGGTTTCCGGACGTGACGAGCGAGTGTTTTGCTTTGCTTCTGGACCGCCTGACTCATATCTTCACTGTACTTTTGAGCCTCTTTGATCTTCGCCTCTTGATGGACGACCAAGGCTTGTAGTTCATTGAGTTTTGCAAGGGCTTGGTCCTTTTCTCATAGTACCTGGTCATACTGAGCTAACCCATCTCTTTCTTTATAGCGTAGCTCAGTGAGACTTTTGTTGAGTCTCCGATTGGCCTCTCGCTCTTGGCGTATTTCTGACCGAGTCCTTGTGAGGTCTTGTAACAAGTCCTTGATGGTCTGAACCTATTTTGCTGATTCGGCCTCAAGGCGTGCTGATTTGGCGGTTATTTCTTGGAGTTACCTATTCGAGCTGGTTCTAGCATCTTTGGATGCTTAGATAGCTTGCTCATTAGAGTCAGCACATTGATCCTTGAGGCGCTCTATTTCATGATCCTTTTTCTTGCATTGCCTTTGTAGACCGTCTATGGTGAGGATAGATTCTTGTTCTCTTTCTTCAAGGGCCCTCATCTGGGCTCCCATGATTTCTATCCTCTGGGTCAAGGCGTCGACTTGAGTTTGAAGCTCTTCACTATTGGCACATGTAGCGAGTGAGGTGGATGGTTGAGACATCCCTCTTCTACGTCTCCAGTCCTCGTAGTCACTAGAGGCAGCTATTCGAACTTTTCCTAGCTCTCTATCTCCCATAAAGACTGGTCTCTCCCATGCTCTTCTCACGGCTAGTGAGTTAGAAATTGTGCATGGGTCTCCGAAGAAACACAGTCCTCCGAGCTCCCCTCGGGATATTATAGTTTGAGTCCTCATGAGTTGTCTCATAGCTACTCTAGGTGAATAGGCTATGCAACCCCTGAGTCCTATCAACGGTATGTTCGGATAATCCCCACATCTGATGAGGACTGGACCGGGTCGGAACCAAGGACAGACCAGACCCCAGATAAATGGTTGGCGTCCCATTGTTCCAACTCGTCTTTCCACTCTGAGGTTAGGCATCGGTGGAGAGGGATTTTGGAGAAGCTCCTTAAAGGGTCGGGGAACATCCCCATGTGACTAGAGGCGTAGAAATGTGTGATGCCTCACACAAAAAGTAGTGAAGAGCAACAACGGAGTGTTTTTCCTTGCTTCTGGCGGCAAAATTCCATCGAGAGCAAGGTGTCGGCAAGAATTGCAGGAAAGGGACTCTTCGAATTCACGTCCCAGGCGAAGAAGGCGTCCATGACGGCTTGGTCCACTGTGTCGATGTGGAAGGGAAAAAATATTGTTCCAAATATAATCAAGGTCAGGGTTTTGTTAAAGGCAACCCATTCTGCCCTTTCAGCCAAAGTGGACAGATGGTCTTCTAACATTGAGACTTTCCAACCCTGGATGTTCCCTTTTTCTATCAGGGTAGTCTGCCGGAAAGGTAATCGGATGATGGCAGCGATTTGTGCTGTAGGAGTATATGCCCCGTGGCGGATATGGACCCCGGCTGATTTGGGCCATTTTAGCATGATCTCATACTCCTCCAAAGTGGGCACCATGTCGAACTGCGAAAATTCAAAGCAGCGTAGACTGGAGTTCCAGAAATGAACTAGCACCCTGATAAAAATGGGATCGACACAGATCTTCAACAGGTCGAGGATCCGTCCATAGGATTTTTCAAAGTCGGAGCGGACCTCTGGTGGCATTATTCCGCAAAGCTGTTCCAACTTCTCAGTATGATATCGGGGAATGTCCACTTTCTTCAATTGTCTACCAGTCCCCTCTATTTTCTAAAACCAAAATGCATGCTTTATGAATATGATGCTTTATTGTAGGTATGAATGTGAGTGTTTATTTTTCCTATTTATCATGTTTTATTTCTACATGATGTATGATATTTACGTATTTTATTTTGGAAAAATAAACTACCTATATGAATGATTTATGAGCGTAATGTTTTATGAACAAGGTCCCATTTTTTTTTTTGGTATTTATTTGATTTGATTTTGTTATTGTTTTTATTTTATAGCCTTTTATCTCTTGTGTCAGACTGCGTGGCTACTTAGCTTACAAAGAACCTGAAATCAGACTAGCTAAAAGGAAAACTATCCGAGATAAAAATGGTTTTATGCGAAAGAATAATGTTTAGCGTCCCTTATCTCTTCTGTCGGACTGCGTGGCTACTTAGCTTACAAAGAACCTGAAGTCAGGCTAGCTAAAAGACAGACTATCCGAGATAAGGGCATTTATTGTGAAAAATGTTTTTGTGATTTTTCTGTTGTTTGGTTATACTATGCAATCAAATGCAACAAACAAATGCGCACACAATTCAATCATCCACGAACTGGCGAGAAGTCGTTTTAATCACGAAGTAGGGTTTTCCTGCAGAAAAGTGCATTGGCGAAGGTAGGTTCTAACTGTTCTCACCAAGGCTAAGGCCCCCAAGGTGCCCCCATTATAGGGTCCCCACTCTCCAGCCTTCCGACCATGCTTAGCACTAAGGCCATAGTCAGTCTTTGTGCCAAAAGAGGAAGGTTATCACCTTGAGTGGTGGTTTCCGATAACACTGGTGGGCTCAAGGCCATCACTACAGCGAACCGTACCTGCCACCCACTCCCTATGGATTTCTCACTTGCCCTCGGGTATAGAGGGAACTGTTGTGTGCAAAGGTTTGTGTACAGTTTTTATTTCAAACAATTGCGTAAACATAAACAAGCAACAGTTATTAAAGCCAAGCATTTAAAACATGTTATAATACAAGTTAGGGTAAAAGCGTAATTTCTGAGTTTATTTATTAAGCTGACCCATCACTAAATGGGATCAACTCTCTAGGCTTCCCCAGTGGAGTCGTCATCTGTCACCGCCGTAAAAAAAGAGGTGGTCGGAGCGACACGATAGTTCCGACTTTCCAATTTTTGCATTTTTATGGGTGATGTTACAACACTTTTAGATTGTCCGATAACCGAGCTGAACCTAGAGGCGAGGTTTTTGAAAAGGTGTTCTTGGATTGTCCGATAACCGGGCTAACCCAAGAACTAATTTGAAGGGGTTCTTATGGAGTCGCCACCGATATTTTTACCGGAAACATCGAAAAAGGGGTAAAAAGGTGTTGGTTTTCGAAAACCAACTTTGGTCATTAAAACCAGAGTTTAGGTAAGGGAGTTAGTTACGTGTAAGGGAGGTGTTAGTTCCCTTACGAAGCCCCTTTCGGGTTCCCTATGATAGGCCCGCTATTTTATAAATAAACTTTTGAAAAGACGCTTTTACCCTTTTATTTACGGAATTAAAGTAATGACTACATGGCCCTAATGTCTATTATGCAATTTAATCATAAAAATAAAGGCAGTAAAAGAGAGGGAGAGTGAAGAAACCTCCGAAGCAAGCTTTTTAATTAATACTCTTGAAAAGTAGGGTGCGTTTTGGTAGCCCTTCGCTCTTTACAACGCCGAAAACTCTCTCGAAATGCTATAAAAAGCTCTCAAAAACTCTCAAAAACTCCGGAAATGCTTCGGAGGGGCTCTAGGAAGAGAATTTGAAGAAAGTGTAGAAGGAAAAGTGAAAGAACTGTGTGAAATGAGGGGGGAAGCGCTCACTATTTATAGGGATTTGCGTCTGTCAGGTCGAGACGGCTGTCTCATCTGACAAGGTCGAGACGACCGTCTCGCCATTCGGGATGACGGTCTCGACTTGTAAAAGTGGCGAGACCGCTGTCTCATTTGGCAAGACGGCGGTATCGACTTTTCCAGAAACGGGAGGGGGTCTCGTCATTCGCAAGTGGCGAGACGCAAACGAGATGGCGGTCTCGACTTGCAGCAATGGCGAGATGGCGGTCCCGAAAAGTAAGACGACAGTCTCGACCCCTGAAGGCGAAAATCCTTATTTTTGTACAGAAAATCCTTCCTATCCTAGTATGGGGCCTAATAGTCTCTCCTAGTGGCTTCTTAGCTTTCTTCCATCTTCGAATAGGAGGTCTTCTGCTCTTATTTTGAGATCGGACTAAATTTGGGGTCTACAGGAGCTACAGACACGTGAGATGTTGATCAAGAACCGTTTGTGCAATGACCTAGTGACTGCTGGTGACTCGAGCCTTCAAAATATGAAACACGAGTTAGTCGAGTCGAAGAGTGCACTTTAAAGCACCATGGACTTGAACACAACTCTGAATGAGAGGGTCAAGGAGCTCAAATAGAAGCTGGAAACCACCACGGCCGAATGCGTCAAGTGGTGCACCAGGTTCCTCCATGTCGAGAAGTAGGAGATGTTGCAGTGTCAAATGAACTCGGTGGAACAAACGCTGGTCAAGATAACATTAGCTTGCGAAGAGGAGGTGGAGAGGAGGGAAGCCATCGATCGGGAAATGCGTGAACTGAAGCAACACATCATTGGTGAGCACATCGAGGTTTTTCCAAAGGCTTTCCTATAGGCCAACCTATTATTTGGAACACCCTTGCATGCTTGATGTTGACAAATATGTGCATGAGGGTCGTTTGGTTGCATTGGACAACATGATAGATGATGAATAGACCAACTCGAACGCAAAAGTCGGGATTGCCCTAATAGATGTAGGCTCTAGTTAGTGCATATGTAATTACTTTGTTTTCAATGCCACGTGATGGTCGAGTTTTTTGCTAGTGTGATCATGTACTTAACATTTCTTTGATGAAATATTTGCATTTTTTTGTATGTGCTTGTTTTTTAATTACATTGTTATTTTTTGATGACTTGGGAGCGATCATTCTCAGTTGAATGATTCATTCTAGGCCGAGGTCACGGATGGTGGGTTGCCCGTGTTTGAATAGGCTTTGCCTTACTTGGGAGGGATAATTCTTGGTTGAATGATTCTTCCTTGAACAAGATTGTCATATGATTAAGTGAATTTTGTTCGTTACTTACCTCGGTGATATTGTGGTTTATGAGGAAATGAATAAGTCAAAGTTTTGCGAAAGAGTATTATTATGTGCCTCAATTAAACCTCCCTTGGAAAAACCCTCCTTAGGGAAAAATCCAAGGGTAGGAAATAGTACACTTATAGGCTTATTTTGTCTTTAATGTAATAAAACTTTAATAGCTTTGCGCTCCATGTTCTTAATATTGGTTTCCCCAAGAGATGCTCTAGCTGGTATGCTCCGTTTCGCAAAGATTGCACCACTCGGAATGGTATAACGGAAATGTTTGATTCATAATTGAGTTTAGCACATAAACCAATTAATAACTATTTTTTTAATATAATAATAATTTATTATTTTATTAATTTTTCGGTTGTACCTTTGATGTTTCGGTTATAAAAAAATCAACTCTCAAGATATAAAAAATTACAATTAAAAGTAATTTTCTTATCAAAATAATTTTTGATGTATTATATGCTTTTGAAATGAATATAAATAGGTTAAGTATTGTTCAATAATTAGAGACAAGTTTAAAGCCTCTTTTAAACATAAACTTTGTGTAACTAAATATGCAAACAATTTATAATATTTAAAGTTTAGTACAATTTTACTTTTAATTTGATGAAAAATGAGTTGATTATAAATAGGGGTGTCAAAGTGAGCCAACCTGGTTCACACAGGTTGACTCATCATGAGTTGAGCTAAATATTAGTGAGCTCAACCCGAATCACTTTATGACGAATCAGAAATTTCACAACCCAATTCAATCCACCATGGATTGGTTCCATAACGCATATTTTTTATTTATTTTTTTAAACGAAATATATATATATATATATATATATATATATATATATATATATATATATATATATATATAGTTGCATTATAAGATACTAAACAATGATATTATAAAGATACTAAGTGAATAAATTTAACATCCAAACCATTCAAATACTCTTAAACAACATTATAGTCTTAAAAAAACTAAAATATCATCCTACTACATAAGTAAAATTAACAAATAACTACAAATTACAATTTGAGATGTGTCAAGCTATTCATTTTGCAAATGGTGGGATTTGTTGTTCCTATCCATGAACAACATTAGAATCATGTCCTAAAAAATCTAGAACAATTTCTTCTTCCTTTGTAACATCATCATTATCTTCATCTACAAAAACAAAAATAAAATATTAGAAAAAAATTAAAAAGTATGATAGCAAGAAAGTATTTAAAAGAAATGAAAGTAAATCACCACTATTTTCAAAGCCATTTAACCAATTTTTGGTTAAAATTAGTCCTTGAAGATTGTTTGGAAGAAGATTATACCAATATTTATTAAGCACGTGACCCCCACTACTAAATGCATATTCACTAACAACTATTATTATTGGTATGCTCAATATCTCACATGTCAATCTACAAATATTTGGATAGCTTTGTTGTCAATCCTTCTAATAGCTTAAAACATTTGACTTTGGAAAATATTTTGGCTTAAGTGGTGTTTCAATCAAATACATATCCAACTCAAATTCTCCATTAACATTAACATTTTGACTCACATAATTGATATATTCCTATAACAATAAAATGAAAACATAATCAATTATTTAATAAAGATTAGATAATAACAAATAATAACATATAAGAAAGATGACAAACTTACATTATATAGATCAATCTCTTGGTCTTCCTCTATAATTAAAATATTCTTTTGTTGAAAGAATAAATTGAGAACTTAATGCATTTGATGAATTTGATCTTGCATTGAACATATTCTTCAAAGAGTTTGTACATCTTGTCTTTCATATGATTAAGTTTTTCATCACAAGTGAAAGAATCAAACTTCGAGTAATAAAATCTAAGTGCTTCAAGTTTCATCCAAGGGTTAAGAATCATAGCAATTGAAAGAATGACATTATATTCACTCTAATAGTTGTCAAACTTGTCCATCATCTGTTTCGCTATGTCTTTCATTAATGGATCATCACTTTTGACTGTCTCCTTTAACAACCACTCAATTTTCCATACTTGCATGAAATATTCATTAGAAGTTGGATAACATGAACCATAAATCACGTTGGTTATCTTATAAAATGGCCTAAAAAATTCACACATTCTTTTTGTTCTTTTTCACTCATCATTTGATGGACAATGTTTAAAATTTCTATCACGTACAGTAAAACTTGAAAAAACACAATGATACCTAAGACCACTTTCAAACATTAGAAAAGTAGAATTCCATCTAGTAGGTACATCCAACTTTAAGTCAAACTTAGTATCAATACTTCTAACTTGAACAACATATTTGTAAATGCTATTTTTCTTGTCTCTGATCCTTTCACATAATGCTTTCTCTAATTTTTTGCAAAGCAATTTCAGCCACTTTTAAACCCACTTGAACTATAAGATTCAGGATATGAGCACAACACCTCACATGGAAAAATTCACCATCACATAACAAACTATTTTGTAAGCTTAATTGCTCACCCAAATTTTGATACATGTGATCAATAACACTAGCATTGTCCAAAGTGATAAAAAATATTTTTCTATCAATTCCCCATCTAGTCAAACATTCAAACACTTTATTTGATAAATCATAACCTGTATGTGGAGGTTCCATTTTACAAAAAGTAAGAATCTTATTATTCAATCTCCAATTATTATTAACAAAATTTGTTGTCAAACAAATGTATCCCTCTTGAGTACAAGCAGTCAAACAATATGATGTTAAACAAATTCGGTTATGACATTTATGCATTTCATATTTCCATTTCGCCTTCATTTCAAGATGAAATTTTCACAAATAAGACACTATAGTATTCTTACTCACATGCTTTACCTCTGGATTTATACATGAAATCAATTCTCATCCATTTATATTCAACAAATTTAATTGACAAATTGCGTTTAATGATAGCCATTGTCATTATCTCTCGAATATGTTTGTGATCAAGTTCACTATTTCTTAATTTTCCCATGTTGTTAATCATCATTGCACCTATATCATGATATTTTGGGCTAAAATTGCAATTTTTTTTCAAATGACGCAGTAAGGTTGAAGTACCTATTTTCAACCCACCAATCACATATTCTTGCCCACATGTGTTACATTTTATCTTTTCTTTACCATCTTTCACAACAATCTTTCATACCAGATGTAGAAACTTTTGTTTTCAATAGTTAGAATGTGTTCCCACAAGTTATGGAGACCGTTTCAGAAAACGTATTCTCACACGTTGCAGAAGACCGTTTCAGAGAATGTGTTCTCACATGTTGACCGTTTCAGAGAACGTTACAGACCCACTACCAAGTCTTCCCATAACTGTTACAAACTTTTTTCTATAAATAGAGACCACTTCACACTTTTCAAAAACACATCTCTCTTATCTTCTTTTCTCTAATCTTCTTTCTGTTATCCTGGATAAATTTACTCTTTTGAGAGTTTCTTGCTAGTTTTTGAGATCCTCGGATATTCTGAGAAGTTCCTATTGTATCCTGGGGGACTTGTGTAATACAATGCGGATAAGTCTTTAAGGGAAATGCTTATACACGCCTCAATAATAAAGTTTGTTTGTGTCTCTGTCAACTTTTACAACAATCTTAAGGACTTATCATTGACTATACAAATATCAACAACTTCCTTCAACAGTTTTACAATATTAGATAGTGAAAGAAATGGAATTATGAAGTGCTCATGGATCAATATTAGTCTTCTGATTATGATTCATGTATGTTATTATGTGAGAATCAATTCATGTATATTAGTATATGATTATGATTCATGTATGCTATTATGTGAGAATAAAGAATCTAAACCTGAAGAGTAGTTTTATAGAATTAGTAACGTATAAAAACTAAAAAATTAAAATACATGTGGTATCATAGCCATACTTATTAGATTTATAATTTTTCTCTTATGATAATTTTTAAATTACGTTTTTCCCAAATTAAGATAAATCCTAATTAAGAATTTAGGATTTCTATATCATATTAACATGAACCCTAATTTATGTTTTCAGTTACAATAAATTTCTTATTGAAATGTGAATGATCAATAATTCTTATTGAAAAAATAAATGATGTGATTTGATTAAAGGTGAATCATGTATGAAATTGGTTTCACTGCATGTTATAATTATGATAGAAAATGTTTGGATGTTATAATTATGATAGAAATTTTTTTGGATCAAAGTGATGTCATCAAACATATGTTCCTTTTTCCGATTTATTACACCAATGCAACAGAGAAAATGAAAAATGCATTATGCATAATTATTTTATGTTATGGGAGAAATTATGCAAAATTATTATATGTTATGAGAGATTTTCTTTGTGAATAATTACCAGTTACATATATGCAATGCATGACTTAGATCTACATATTATTTTGTACATACGTGTAGAATATTATTTTATCCACATATTATTTATTTTGTACATACGTATAAGTAGAATATTATTTTGTCCACATATTATTTTGTACATAGGTATGCAAGGGAGAAGATACAATTATTGCGGTCGTTTATCAAATAAACCTTGTGACTAATGTGAGTAAATGTGTGGTAGACTCTGGTGCTACCAGGCACATCTGTGCAAACAGAAGTGTTTTTACCTCCTACATTAGTGTG